TTGCGATTTTCGTACGGAATCTCTTCTCTCGGTTTTCCGAGGGAAGCAATCATATGAGGAAAATTCTTCTAAAAGTTCTTTTGTCTGTTGTTTTCAAACCAATGATATGCTTGCTTTGTAGAACGAAGAGCATTCATTATACTTTGCATTTGGTACATGTCATCTTTGACCGAACGAATGAGGCGAAGTTGTTTGTTATATTGTATGTACTCGTATTCTTCATTTATGGCTTCATGAAACGATAGCAATTGTTGTGTTTCTCTAATGTTGACATTACTGTTCTTACATACAGGATAAAAAAATAAATAAAAATAAAATTAGCGTTATTTTTTTCTGAGATAAACACTATTTCTTCACAACATTAAATTTTATCCTGTATGAAATGACTTTAAAAAGATTATTGACTGACTTCGAATACTATCTCATTGACGCACTGACAGACCCTCAAAACTGTGTTGAAAAGTTCTTTAAGCTTTAAGATTGAAGGTACGACGCATTTTGTCTTCACTTACGTATTGAAAGAATATGACCGTTATCATAACGAAGTGAATCAAACACTAATAAAATTTGTAGATAAAAAATTGGTTAACAATGAATATTTTAAACGTGAAGACCCAAACACTGCTGGAGATGATGAAGAATACAGACAAGTTATTGAAAAAAATAACGCAAGATTAGATGCAATAGAAAAGAAGTTTAATGAATGTCTTACAAACACGTATGAATATCTTATGCGGTGGGAAGCCAGATGGAAATAAATTTACGTCAAATATGCAATTTATAAAATCTTATGTCGACAGGCTACGTAGCACAGTGGTCTAAGGTGGTGTTATGAGGGGTTAGGGTCTGTGGTTCGAACCGCGACAGCGCCGTATTTTCTTATTTTCTTTGTTTGTCTTGTTTGTCGTGAATAAAAAGTGTCATAAAAGTGCTCTATCTTCCACGGGAATAAATAAAAAATTTACTTTATTTCTTCTTTATTTCTTTATTCCCGTGGAAGAAGGGTTTTGCTGTTTTTCTCAGCCGAAATCAATGTTTTTTCATTTTTGGAATCCTTAGCGAATGAGAATCTTTTCTCTCGTGGAAGCTTTGACCAAAAATATAATTGAGGTGAAGAGGTGAGATCTCACCTCTTTTTCACCTCTTTTTTTCACAAGCGTTTTACATGAATTGTACGATGTATATTTGAAATCCTAAACAATTTCGTAGCTTCTATTTCTTCTGTCAGTATGTCAAAAGTTTTAACAATACCGAAGGTTTCTTTATACTTCTTCTTGACGTCAGACAGAAGGAAATCTTCTGCTGTTGGATAGTTTTTGTTCAGAAATGCTAACATGTCCATTTTATCTTCTGCTGGCTTTTCTGCTTCTTTCTTTAAGTCTGCATAGTCGTTTCGCATACGTTTCTATCTCTTTGACTGAGTAGTTATATTTTCTTATTCCTGCTTTACATTTTGAACATTGCGGGTTCATTTTTGCGTTATTACATTGAAATAAAACCAGCTAAACAACTAAAAGCGTCAATTGCTCTTCATCTCAAACATAGCGGGTCTTATTTGTTCGTTCCATACTTTGCCTCTTCTATCTTTATCTCTTATTTCCCAAACACATTTTGCAACTAATGAAACAAAGTTATCGTAAGTCTTAAACTCCTCAGATTTATATATGTCAGAAATGTTTTTATAAACCATGTCGCAATCTTTGTCCATAACTTTATGGTTGCAATGAAAACCAAGGAATTCATAATTTACTTTACGTATGAACTTCTTTATTTCTACTGAATCAGTTGGTTTCACTTCTATTTCGTCGAATTCAGGAATAGTTAGTTTTTGCTGTTGGATTTCAGGCAATTTGGGTAAATGTTCAATAATGTCCTGCATTTCATAAAGATATTCTTCATTTGTTTCATCTTTCGCACTACAGTCTAAATTACTTGTTAAAAGTTCTTGCTTTATCTTCTGGATTTTTGTTTCGAAAGTATATGAAGAAGGAATGAAGTTTTTCATCTCTACCAACATTGACGTAGGATTCATGACTAACGAGTTTGGTGCTGTTGTTTGAATTGTTGTTGTGCCGATTGTTGAAATCATATCTTTACATACAAAATAAAAAAAATAAATAAAATAAAACTAACTTTATTTTTTCTATCTTAAGGAAATTCATGAAAATTCAAGAGGGTGAAAAAACAGGTGAGATCTCACCTCTTCACCTAAAATATATTTTGTCTGATTTACATCTAATGAAAAAGTTTAGAAGAATTTTCTTATTCTTTCTGGCATATTTTTGTCTTTCCAGTACTCCCGCTCTAATGGTCCCAGATGTGTTGGCTTTGACTCTCTCAAGTTCTTAGATGGTATAACATCTTCAACACCTCCTTCTTATCTTACTTTATAAGTGTCATCGTTTATGTTGTAGTCAAGTATTTCAATAACCACTCCTCGCTTTGCTTCGTCAATGGTTTCAGCAAGTTTGCCATTACTACTTTCAACTAATTTATGACGAGGATAAAACGCAATAGAGTCGTCAGCAGCTTTTATAAGATATCCATTACCTTGCGTAGAGTCTACGATATAATAGTTTCTACTTAACCTTAAACGTTTCTTTGTCAACGGTTTGTCGTCAAGAACTACACGAACTTTTGTACCAGGAATGAGGGTAAATTGTGTTGAATTTCTGATATTTTGTGTTTGGCTTCGTTTCTTTTGTATATACTTTTCTTCTTGTTGTTGTGTCATTGAATTTGGTGTATGTCCTGTTGTAGAATGTGTTGAGGAATTATATACTTCGAGAAAATGTTTCATTGTTTCTTCGGTAAAGTCTCGCTCTTGGTTTAAATCTCTGAGCGTCCTTATGAAGCGGTTTATGATGCCGAGTATGTTATGGTTATGGTCTTCAGTAGTGTAGTGAGTTATGTTATGCTTAATGAGAAAATCTGTGATTTCATTGCTGAGGTATGCACTGTCTTGGTCTGATGTTAAAGTACTTGGGTTATGTTCTGCTACAAACTTTTGTAAAACTCTTAACACTTCACGAGTTCCTTTATTTTTCATTGGATATGCATATGCTTTACGAGTGTTAACATTTATGAAGATGAGGAATGGTTTATGTCCTCCTTTTCTGCTTTGAATGAGAGTGTCAAATTGGTATGCGTCGGGAGTGTTGGAGTAAATTGGTAAAAAGTAGTCGTAAGGGTTTATTTTTGTTTGATGTACAACATTTTTTGTCAAAGAACCTTTTCACTTCAGCTCTGTTAGTAAATCCCCAACTCTTTGCAGCTTCATTGAACTTCTTAAATGACCTCCATGGATGTTGTTCGAATACTTCTTTCAAGCTCATTTATGTAAAGTTAAAGAGTTTAACCAACTCGTATCCAAGCGTGCATTGTTATATAAGGAGGCATATAATCTTTTCCATTACCTGCTGGGTCTGTAATACCAGCTACAACATGTGTATGATTTCCTGCAGTTCCACAGAAAATACCTGTGCTAACATCTTTGGGGTCATCTGAGATATCATATCTATTCATTCCCCATCTATCCGAACCCGCTGCAAGATTTATATAACCTCTTTTTGTTATTGAATGTGAATGGTTTCCTTCCACAGATGTTCTTCCACTGAACCTATGCATATGTGAAGGAAGGTTTTCAATACCTATTTTCTTTGAACCTCCCATCTTCATTGACTGCGTATTAGTGTAGAATGGAAAACTGTCAACTATTTCATACCATCTACCACCAAATAAAGTGTTTGGATTTATTGGATTCATAGACGTATAAACAGCTCCTATAGGATATATTAAATCATATATGCTCATAACTCTATAAACATATTCTAAAGAACTTATGTCAAATACCATTTGGAATGTATCTCCCGGATGAAATGTTGCATTTGTTCCACTTTATAATGTAATGTTAGTTCAATAGAATTATCCAAGAAAAATTCAAAAGTATCTGGTTGAAGACCTCTAACAAATTCAAATGGAGTTGCTGGTTCACCATTTATAATTTCTGTTGTAAATGTCATTGTATCTGGTTTCGAAAATTTCTTGTTAGTTCTGCATCCACATAAGTTTTATCTGCTTTTTTATCTAACATTGCTGGTAGTTCATGTGTTTCAAAGTTTCTGACATGACCTTCAATGTTCATACATTTACTATTTAAGGAGTTTAGTGTATCTTTTACGCTTGTACTTGGATTCTCTAATGGTGCACTTGAACCAAGGATATAGTTCAATATTATGTCGTCTGCTCTAACAGTAGTGAAGGATTTATGTGTATGGTTCTTGTCGGCTTTACTGTCTAATGTAGCTTGAAGTTCATTTATATCGGAGATGTTGTGTTTATGAGATTTCAAAACTTTGTTCATTGCTTCGAGTTCAACTTTGTCAGCTTTACTTTTAATAGCATCTTCAAACGTTATTTTTGCCTTAACTCTCAAAGTAAATCTTGGTTCAACTAATACACCGTTAACATTGAAAGTAGAGGCATAAATTTCACCGGTATAACCAAATGCTTCTGGTGCTTTAGCTACATCATACTGTACAGTACAGCTTATGTCATAACCTTTAGCACGAATGTATTTATATCTTCTTTCATTAACATTTTTTGTCTTCGCTTCATCACTTCGTGTTAAATATCCATGGTAGTCCGTTATAATCTGTTCGTCTGAAGTTATATAATGAACATGGTTTTTATCTGCTTTACTATTTAATGTAGCTTGAAGTTCATTTATATCGGAGATATTGTGTTTATGTTCTTTATCTGCTTTTTCGGCTAATTTCTCTTCTATCTCATTTATTTCAAGTTCATGCCTACCACCACCTCCCGAAGAAGTATTTTTCTTCAGCTCTTGAAGAACGTCCACTTCGCCATCTTTGGTGTCAATAATGAGACTTTGAGTTAAAACCTTTCCTGTCTTAATGGATGTTTGTAAAACTTCTTCTTCACCGTGTTCGGGGTCATGGTCGTCATCATATCTTGTGAAATCAGAGATGTTGTCATACATTAAGCATATCTGTCTCAAAAGTTCTGCTATTTGAAACTGGAACGAAAGATATACAGAACTTTCATCATCTCCTAAAGTCAAGTCTGCTTTCTTAAGTATTTCTTGAATGTATGCAATGAGAACAGAGTACCTTGGAAAATATTCGAACAATATTTCATTAGCTGTTGGTTTTGGTGGTTCTTCTGGAGTTTCTGTTGTTTCAGTTCCTTCTGTTGGAGTTTCTGCATCTCTTGACTTCAATGCTCTTGCTCTCAAAGACCTAAATGTTAGAGCACCGGGTTTTACAAAGGACTTTATAAATGCTTTAATAGTTCCTGGTAAGTTATTGTTAGCATTAAGTAAGTTCCTTATGCTTCCATCATGTACGTCCATAGCACTATGTAAAAAATCTATACTTTTCTTGTAGTCAGCAATAGACTGACTGTGATTTTTTAAAGATTTGTCAATACCTTTAAGCCAATCTTCATGCATGTCTGATACTGAGCCAAGAATATCATTTGCTTCCTTTAGTGTATTTTGTGCTTCTTGTAAAGTATCCAATCCCGTACGTGCATTGTTTGCTATACGTCTTACAGTATCTATTTGACTCCTTGTTTCTTGCATCCAACCAGATAAAGTTTTAATAGTATCCGAACCATTTGAAATGAAGTTCAAAGCATTTTTAACGTCATCTAAAGCTTCTTCACCAAGTACTGCCCATATCTTTCCGATTTGGTATTGAAGAACTCCATATGAAGCAGCTGTTAAACCAGTATTTATAAGGTCCCATATCCATGATTTAGCAGTTTTTCCATCCTTTCCATCCTTTCCATCCAAACCGTTCTCGCCTTGAGGTCCTTGTATTCCTTGTATTCCTTGTATTCCTTGTGGTCCTTGTGGTCCGGTGTCACCCTTCTCTCCTTTCAGTTCATCTTTATGTTCGTTATAATATTCTAATGTCATAAGGTGTACATCATTACTGCTACCAGCAACGCCGAGAATTTGTTTCTCATTCATGACTAAATTCTTTAGGCATTTAATGTTGTCGTCAAATCGAAAGCTCTTTAACAATTCAATGAGAACATTAATACTTTCACTAATGAGGCATCTACTGTAGAATTTATATATTGCACCGTTCCATCATTTATGATGGGAACCTTGCTTGTTGTAATGAATGGGTCATAAGTGTTAAAAGTATCGAAATCAATGACTTTTTTAGTTTTTCCATCGTCAATGACTAAATCATTGCCTTCAATGGTTAAAGTTGAGTTTTCGTTTACTAGTTCATGTGCTCTTCTTGCTTCATTTGTTTCATACGCATATGCAGCAATAGTCATATTTTAATGAGAATAAAATGTTGTTCTATTTGCAAAGTACAGACCCAAACGAATACGGGACAGTAAAGCTACAAACAAACTTAGGTCTTCAGAATGAAGCGCTTGCTTTCAGAGTTGTTGACTTTAATACTATCGCAACTTTTGTCATAAGAGATGAAACAGATTTCATGGAGTTTGAAATAGATGACAAAAGAAGTTTTATAACATTTCCTAACAGAGCAGAGTATAGAATAGATAAAATTGCTGGAGTGTTAAATGCTCTCATAAATGAAGAAACTATTGACAACATAGATGTCGAACTCTCTTCTGAGGGAACATTGAAGTTCAGTAGCAAGAAAGAGTTCAAGATAACACGAATGAGTCATAGAGTTCAACTTCTTTTAGGAGCATACCATATGACATTTCCTTTGAAAAGTGTTGACAAAACGATTGAGATGAAATCTGTTCCATACGTATGTTATGGTAATTGTTTATACATTGAGTCTAAAATAGCTAATGTCACAGGCATTTCAGGAGTTAATAGTAAAGGTTCAGTAGAATATAAATCCTTCTGTTATGCAGTCAATTCAATGTTCATTCCAAACGTTCCTGTCATAGCAACTCATTTAGGTAAATGGGTTCGCATTAGTCCTCATAATTTGAAAGACATGCAATTCAGACTTGTTGACTTTCAAGGAGAGCCTGTAGAACTGAAGGCACCAGTGCGAATGACTGTTGAAGTTGACTTTTTAGAAAATATTAAATGCAACAGCTTACAAGAGAACTCAGAGCTAAAAATATAAAGTATGAATGTTATGTATTAGGTCATGAACTTTGGTTGTTGCTGTTTGATGAAACAAATGAGTTAGTTATGTCAGTCAAGAGAACAGAAAAATATTGTGTTAGTGAAAACTGCACCAAGTCAATAAGATTAGGTTTGCATTATGAAGATGAGTTCGATACTGTTGAAGAAGTTTTGGATAGATATTACAAATTGCTTTAATTTACTAAAACATATTTCAAGCAAAGTTTATATTCTGTTGAAAGTTTTGTATACTCGTTCGAATATTTATACTTAAACTCAACTCCTGTAGTTCCTGGTGTTTCAATGATGCGGATGTTACCTATTTTCATGAATAGTGGAGTTTGACCACAGCATTCGATTTCAGGGTCGAGATAGTCAATGACACATTGTTTCCCTGTTATTCGTGAGATAACATTTTCAAGGTCCTCCTTTGTTAGAATTATTTGGTTCTTGCTTATAAGATTTGTCAAAAGCTTCTTATCGTCTTTGAGTAAAATTGTTTGGTATAACTGAAGAAGGTAATGGTCTACGTTATCTGAAGGATTTGTTTGAACATTTGTGTAAGGGTTGTCGTTGGCTTCTCTTGAAAGAATTTGGTCCAGTGGTGGATACTCTAACTTAACATCTGATGTAGCGTTAGCGTTTGAAGCTGAGTTTAAATTCACGGATTTCAGTTCTGGTTCTGGTTCTTTCAAACACTCTGAACTATAGTTCTTTATGACAATATTGTTTGTCGTTCGTGAGTCAACATTTGATGTTGGTTCAATTGGAACATTAACGGCACCAGCTAAGATGGATTTGCTTCTCATTTCATATAGAATAAAAACCTTTTATATGTATGAAATGAACAATATACTCGACAAGGGTTTGAATGTAAAGCTAACGAATGAAAATATTGTTGAATTCACTGAGACAGGTGCTGTGTATAAAGATGTAGAACTACTGAACAAAAGAGCTAAGGGAAGAAGCAGGAATATGAACAAAGGGTGGAAGCCTATAAAAATTTATGTCAATGATGGCTCAGGAGGTTCAAACATAAAGTATGCAGAAAGTTATAGAGTTTATGCTCTCAAAGGTGAAAAGCCTTCATTTAAGAACAGCTATTCTAACGCATATCCTCAAAAGCTAACGGCTGGGGAAGTGGCTGATATGAATGACAGCAAAAATATTAACAGAAATGGCGACAGAGATGCATGGAATTTGTTTACCATCAGTCAATTGAAGGTTAAACTTTAAAACAATGTTGGTCGTTCCCATGGAATATTTTTGACTTTAATGGTATTAGTCATGATATGAATCTCAAGGTATGAACGAGGAGAGATGAGAGACTTATATGCTTCCCAAATTTCTTCAAAAGGTAATGTTATACCTGACTGTTTCCAAATGAGTTCAATATCATAACGTGAGAAACCTTGAAAGATAACGAAGTCAGTTATGAGACGTTTTATATTTAAAGCAAGGAAACGCCATGTTTGCATAAGTATTGCTACAGTTAAGTGGTAATGTCTGACTTTAGTTATGATGTTAGCTAATGGTGAGTCTGGTTTTGACACTAAACCTTTTCCGGCGAAGTCGTCGCAAACGAGCAGAGTGTTTGAAGGATACTTTTTGAAGGGGTATTTTGAAAGTTTTGATAGAATGTAGTTTGTCAGTCGTTTCATATCGTAAACTCCTGAGTATTGACGTAAGTGGTGTTTGTCAATAATTCTTTCCATCTCCTCAGAAGTCTTTTGCATTCCTGACTGTATAAATTCAACGATGGCATAATATTTCCTCTTACGTCGAATGTAACGTTGAAGAAATTCAATGAGTTCACTGTCTGGAACTTTAACGATAGAGGCTTGAACTTTTGACATGAATGTTTTCGCTGTTGAGTCCATAGAGTCTGAAGTTGCTGATATAATGATTTGGTCATAGTAAGAGTCGTTTCCTAAACGCTCTGTTATGAGTATATGACGAATGAGGTTAAATGTCTTACCTGAACCCATCTTTCCACAATAGAAATACACACCATTTGAACAGAATTCATAATCTTTGCTGAAAGGAAGAATGAGAGAAGAGTTAAGTTTGTCTGTAGTTTCATTCATGTCTTCATCTACGTCATGTATTAAATGCTTCATTTTATCTCCATTAAAAATGCAAGTCAGAAATATTCAGAACATAGCACCGAGTCTAACTGACAAGAGTATAAAGATATACTATGAACACGTTATGATGAAACCAACCAAAATTCAAGAAAGTCAGTATACTTATGAATATCCAAGACACTGGGTAGAGTATGTAGGAGGTGAGAAAGCTATTGAAATAAGACAAGTTAGAAGTATTCCAGCAGGAAGGACAATATTATTGAAGAACTTTAATGTTTTGAGGTATAATGATGAAACAAAGAAGCAAGATAGTTTTCCTGTTGCTGTGTATGTGAACTTAGATACAGGAGATGACATGAAAGTTTTTAACACAAAGCTTCAAACGGTAGTGAGAGAACAACTGACTGCGGAAGGGCATCCATTACCTTCAGAAGTTACCATAGCATATAATTTTGAAACAAACTCAATAGATTTTAAAGTCATCTCTGCAAAGAAGTCAGGATTTACATTTAATGAAGCAGATGTATATTCGAATGAAAACTTCAATGCTATTGCATGGTTAGATAATGACGATTGCTTTAAGAAAATCTTTAAATTCAGTGACTCAAAGATGTCAATAGATGACCTTCGTGGAATGTTACCATCGACGTTTACAGTAGAAGGTTCAGCAGGATTGCTTACAAGATTGTCAATTGGTGGTATTTGGTCTCGTGAAAACATTGTTATAAAATCCAGTATAAGTGAATTTGCTGAAGAATCTATATTATGTCTTTCAACTACATGTATTCGCCGCCGAAGCATTATAGTATAACAAACTTTGTCAGTAAGTTTAACATAAGACTTGTCGAACCTTCTTCAATGAAAGATGTTGTGCTACCTAAAGATGGAAAGGATGGACTCATTATTGAGATGATTTTAATAGCATATTAAATGAGCTTGTTCTTGAAGGTCGTTCATGATGAAATAACAGTTGTAGAAGATGTTAGCAATTGTTCAGACATTTTGAAGCGAATAGATGAGATAAGAAAGAAGTTAGATAGACCGCAAAGCGGTGAGGGTGAAGCCCGTGAGAATGTTTATGTTTCATTGACTTTCTCCAGTAACGAGAACTTTTATGAGATAATATTGAAGAGAGATGATTTTAATATGGTGTAAATGGTAGCTTGGGCAGCTTTAGGCGCAATGGGAACAAAAGCATTAGCATTTGGAGCAAAAGCACTTGGAGCTTATGACGCAGTAAATAAAATGAGTGGAGGAAGGGTTTCGAAGACATTAGATGCAAATAAAGGGAAGATTGGAGGCTGGGTTGCAAAGAAGTTAAGATTAAATAAAATAGGGCTCATAAATAAAGCATCCAATTTGGTTGCGACTGAGTCAGAAAATGCTTTAGGAAAGGACGATGAGTTTGCAAAACACGCAAAAGACTTTAATGACCAGATGAAAGGTAAAACAATGCATTTAAATAGAGTCGATGGAACTAAAGAAAATGTTTCTTCTCCACCAGCGGTTTATCCATACGGGCCTTATGGAATGTATGGAAACCCTTATGAACGACCATTTGACCCATTGACTGGTGGAAGTAATTGGTATCATTATGGACGAAGAAGAAAGACAGTCAAGTTGGAGACAGACGTGAAGAAAGCAACTAAAAAGAAACCAAGGAAGAGAGTTATAAAGCAATGAATTCAAGTGGGTGAAAAAAGAGGTGAAAAAAGAGGTGAGATCTCACCACTTCACCTAAATTTATTTTTGTGCTATGTTTTCATACGTGTGAGGGTGGTGATATCATTTATTTTTAAGTTTATTTTT